CATCAAAAATGAAAAGTATAAAATTCTCCATTTTTATAGCTTTTCTGATGCATATACATGTACTTATGTTGCATAGAAAGTTTGAGCTGATTCAGATCGAATTTGAATTTTTTATGAATTTTTAAAGTTGGTCAAAAATTGGGCGAAAGTCCCTGTACTATCAAAAATGAAAAGTATAGAATTCTCCATTTTTATAACTTTTTCTAATACATATACGTGTACTTATGTTGCGTAGAAAGTTTGGACTCATTCCGATCAAATTTTAATTTTTTTATGAATATTTCAAGTTGCTCTAAAATCCTTATCATAATCCATACACTGTACCTCTTTCCAAAAAGCCCATGCTTCTTGTCAAAGTCTTAATTCTTGCATTTACTGTAGTACATGTGTATGCATGTACATGTAAATGTAAATTTATGGTACATGTACACATTTTCATGTAACAAGTGTCATTTTTGCTATATATTATTATTATCATTTATATTCATAGTACTGCTGACTACCATCTCCTCTCAGTTTGATGGAGGAAATTCGTTACACATTGCAGCCGCTAGCCTCTCACTGGCATCTGCTAAAACCCTGGTTAGCTAATTACTGATGCATATTAATGTCCTTATGCTATGAGCTGATTCTAAAGTCAAATTTATCAAGTTACGGCCTTTTCAAAAAATTGGCCAATTAAAAAAATACCTTGTACTTTAAAGCCCATGTTTTTTCTCCAAAAATTAACTTCGGAATGACTCTCAATTTTTATTCTTTTCTCTCTTTCAGTTGAAGTACAAAGCTGATGCTGGTTTTGCTGATGCTACTGGTCTCTTACCTCACGAGGTCATTCCACAAGGTACAATCAAATAATTATTAAAATCTTATTTAGTGTACATTTGTATATACATGTACACTGTACTACTACTGTACATGCATGTACGGTATAATTTATTAAAACCGTTAATTTTTTCAAATGATGAGGAGGAAAATTTTTAACAATAAATGTAGTAATGTGTATTCACCTACTGGCAAGAATAATCATTTTGAGTCTATTCATTTATGGATATTTTGTGTTTTCAATACCAATTTCTCAAGCTTGCTGTTCCTTCTTACTAGCAGTAATAGTTATCATCTTTCGCCCCTTTAAAAGAAATATTCATAATTTTGGAGAATTTCTAATTTTGTTTATAACTACAATTTTTGGATGCACAAGCACTGTTAATTCCTTTTTGATCTTAAGGTCTCCTTTTTCCGAAGATACTTATACATTAACATTTATAATGCTTATGTTTGTGGTACCAGCTGTCAATGGTCTAATTTTTTCCATCATTATGCCAGTTTATATGTTCTACCAGGTATACAAAATGATAAAATCATGTCATCGTTATCATAAAAGAAATAATCCAGTGGCTAACAGAAATCAAGAAGAAGACTATCAGCCATTAGTTGGTAATGATGATGATTGGATTGCTGATTGTATTGAGAATCCACAAGAATATGATGAACAACATGTTCCTTGTAGAATGGATGATGTATCTGAAGAGGATCAAGAACCCATTACTATTGCTACAGCTGCTACTTATGGCAGTATTAATGAAACTACTGTTTGAAATTAAAAAATAATTTTTGGTTTTTTTTCTTAGTTATTAATTTTTGTGTAGGTTTTGATTGCTTTCATTTATATAAAAAGTTACCATTGTATAGTGTGTATTGGCCAAAATATTATTTTTGCTCAAAGTTTCAATGGAGATAATTTTTTATACTTTCTTCTTCATTTAAATGTGACTGATTC